AGGAGGGGAAGGGGAAGTGGGGGGGGCGGGGAGAAAGGGGGAACTGATTACAACGATCGACATATAACCCCCTCCCAGGGGGATGGACAACAGAGAAGTGGATGAAGGGAGACAGTGGTCACTGTAAGACATGGGAAAAAAAAAAAGTATAAATGATTAAGGGTTCATGAGGGAGGGATGGTGGTGGTTGGGGGACTGAGTTGATACCAAGAGCTCAAGTAGAAAGAAAAGAAAATGATGGCAACTTATGTACAAATGTGCTTGACACATGGATGGGTTAAGAGCTGTAAAAGCCCCCCAAAAAATGATTTTTAAAAAAATCCCTGGGTCCACAGTGTGAAACAGGGTGCACTCTCTTTTATTTCCACAAAGAGGATAGATTGTCACCTTCATTTATTTGGTGAACATAAGAAATGTTCACAAACGAAGCATTACAAATGAGCCTTCTGGCTCGGCTGTTTTCACATGTTGCTTTCCTTCACAAGCCCAAACCTACTTATTATTGTTTCCCTGCCCTCAACCGACAGATGCCTGCAGCATCATACTTTTCAGGTTGTTTAAAAAATCATGCCTACCTGAACTTTTGAATGACAACCTGTGATAGCTAGGCTGTGTGTCATCGTGCCCAGGCCAGGACCCTCAATAGTGGCAGTAAAACCTCCCCCCCCCCACCCTCCACCTCCATAAGCTTCAGTCACAACCAGATGGACACATCCTTGGGGTGTGGTCTACTTCATACCTATAAATAAACTGGAACACTGGACCCTCGCTCTCCTTCGTGTTGGCCTGGGCCTGTCTGCCCTGGGAGCCAGCAGCAGCCTGCCATGTTGCCTTGTCTATGCCCCCAGCAGCCTGTGGTCAGCCCACTTCCTGTTCCCTGCCTTCATCGAAAGGTAGGGAGGGGTCTCCAGCAGGCATCTGACCTGCAGACTGAGCTGCACTGGGTTTGCCTGCTCTGCAATGGTGGTTCATTTATACATTTTTGTCACTGGTTTTGTTTCTCTAGAAAATCCAGCCGAACACCAAATTGGAGCTTTCTCATTATGAATTTCTGCCCTATTATTTTTACCTTAGAGATTAGATTCAAAGATGCCATGAAACCTCAGGGGAGGGTGGGGAGAGAGGGAACCCTGCTGTCGTCGAGTTGACTCTGACCCATAGCAACCCTATCTCTGAGCTTCTGAAGATCTTTACAGGAGCCGGCAGCCTCATCTTTTCTCCTGTGGAGCGGTTGATGAGTTTGAACTGCCAGCCTTGTGATTAGTAGTTCAAGCTTCTCCAAAATTATCACCAGAGCTCCACATAGAACTTGAAGGGGGCAGGGGCAGGGGGGTGGGTATAAACTTCAGTAATATTCCATGGAACTGATGTGTCCCCTTTTCTGAAGCTTCCACTGAACAACTCACTTATGCTGAGGTTGATCAAGGAGCTCAAATAGTAACATGATTGGGACCACTCCACATCCTTTGAATTCACTGTGTTCCTACACTGCTGCTTCTCCTAACTCTCTCTTCCTTTACATCCCACAGGTAAGAAAAGATGTGTGGGTACCACAGGGCTTTAGCAAGCAGTAAACAGGTATGGTAGTGGTTTCCATAACAAACATTTTTGTTTCCCAATGACTCCACACAGTCTAGATATCAGTACACTGCCTTCATACAATTCTACTTAAAGACACTTATTATGTGCTTATGCTCAAGTATAAATGCAAGTAGTGGGGTAAGCACTTAAAAAAACAATAACAACAACAAAAGAACACTCTACAATGGATTCTTTTACACCAGCCTAAAAACACAGGGTACATTTTACACACAAAAAAACAAAACATGCCATGGATTTTGAGTGCCAGCAGGCAGAGAACACTGGGTGACTTACCTTTGTCTTTTCGTGTCTGGTTTCAAGTGCTGTGAAAGCAGGCTGATGGGCTTCAGAACATCATTGTGCTGAATGCTCTGCCTGATGCGGTCCACTAACGTGCTCGTTGCTTGGTGCTCCTCCGACAGGAGGGACAGCTTCCTCTCAGAATCTAGTCGCAAGAACACAGTCGTTGGTCATAAGCTATGAGATGGGACGGATCCTGAGCAAGTTTTATTGTTATCGTTGTTCTCCCGTAAGCATTAGAGGTGCTTTTCCCACCCAGGATTGTAGCATCTTCTAGGTGCTGTTCAACAATGCCCCCCTCTTACTAATTAATAGTGGTTTTCTTCCTCCCTTCGGATAGGGAAGGTCTGTTTCTGGGCTGCACCCCCCCCCCCCCCCAAACTGATGGCTTCCTGCCTGGGGCTGCATGAGGCAGCTTGTCCTCCAGCTGCCACCTGGTGACCATGAAATCCCTGTGTCCGTGATAAAGCAGACACTGCAAAAGGAGTCTATGTCCCTGGTGAGAGAGGAGTGAACTACCAGTCCTGTACTAATTCATAACTTCTCTGAGAGCATGAACTACACCTTGCTTAAGCCATTAAATACAGCAGTTCCATCCTGGCGTCAGGGGAACTCGGGAACGCTAGGAACGAACATCTACACAAATTCTCTAGCTTATAAAGGTGCTTCGGTGTCACAGCAGAGAGGTGGCATGAGAAGTGTGCAGATTCATCCCTGTCTGTGGCTTCCGAAAGAGACATTTTTAACTAATGGAGGCAATTCCAATCATCACGGATTTTGTGTAAAGCCAGATTAGCATGAGACTAACATGTATGCACTAGTTCCTCAGCCTCATTGTGAATGTCTGTAATGATGTCAGCATTAGTGTTTTTCTGTAACAGTCTCAAGATTAAGGAAAGTATTAATATTTCATCTGTGCTCACTAAAAATTAGCACAAAAATGTGTATCTCTGTTGAAATACAAAAGGAGATATTGGCTGCTCCGGGTTTCAATCCTACTGCTTCTACCCTTTAAATGATGACCTTTAAAGAGACTGGATTTCATGCTGTGTTGTTTAGGGCCTAACCTCAACCTAAGATGCTACTTCACAGTGTCTCCTTTAAGTCCTTTTCAGTAACAACTTTTTAAAAATAATTACAAATCATACAACTCACACGCTAAGAGTAAACATTCTGTTTTTCAGTATATTTAGAAGTTGTGGGATCACCGTCGCAATCAATTTTCCAACGTTTTCAACACCCCAAAATGAACACGGCCCATTTGGCCCCTAGTCCTAGAAAACCAACACACACCCGCTGCCAGCAAGTAGATTCTGACTTAAGTCAACGCCACATTGGCTACAGTACAACTGCTCCACCGTGTCTTCTTGGCTGTACACTATATGGAAGCAGATCCCCAGGTATTTCTTAAATAAAGCGCGCGCGCACACACACACACACACACACACACACACACACACACACACGTCACTACTCGTGGGTGTTTCGCCAGGGGCAGACCGAGCAGCTCTTTTCCCAATCCAGACCGTCATCACACAGTCAGATCCTGCGCGTCTCCCACTGCGCTTCACGGGGCGTCTACGCATTTCAAGCACCCAGCCAAGTCAGCAAACACGGCCATCCTTGAGGGTTCAAAAGCTTGAGTCCCAACACAAATGAGTAGAATGCCGGGCAGTTCGTGTCTACTTCAACACTGAAGAAAACGGATTTATAGCAATGGTGACTCCTGCTCTAGTCACTGCTACCCTCAACGCTAGGGTTCATCCTGCTTTTGCTTAAAATGAACTCATGTATCATGGCTGGACCGAAAAATTAATGTGGTTCATAATACATTTACCTATAGCTTTATGACAGAGGTGTTTCAAGAGCAAACATCAAGTGCCCTTTTGTTTCGTTTCAGCCTGAAGTAAAGAAACTGCAGAGTTGTAATAAAACCCAAACCAAACTCACTGCCATAGAGTCCATTTGGACTCACAGTGACCCCACAGGACAGGGTAGAACTGCCACTGTGGGTTTCTGAGCCTGGAAATCTCTATGGGGGCCTGGTCGTTCTCCCACGGGGGATGGTGGTTTCACACTGCTGACCTTGTGGCTAGCAGCTCAACGCAGAACCACTACACCACCAGGACTCCTCCCAAGTGTGACAGAGAGGTGAAACATACAACACCAAAATCGCCATCGTCGTCCTAATACACAGCACAACAAATAGTGAACTAGTCCTTTAGGCACTATGAGGTTTGAAGTATTTCCTTAAAGTCTTTTTCTATATGCACACAAAAACACACGTGCACACATATATATACGTGCGTGTTTTCTCCTGCCCTATGAAAAAAGGGAAAAAGATGTACTGTACTATATACAATCTGTGTTCTGTAACTAGTCTATAACACTTGATAGATAACAGGCATCCCTTATACAAATTTCTCTTTTTGGCTGCCAATGTTTTACTCTATAGATTGATCATAATTCACCTATTGGTTATTCATAATAATTTATTATTATATATAATAAATTATTTATAATAATAAAGTTTTATCAACATTCTTGATTATAAATCACCTTATAGTAAACATCCTTTTACACAGAGCCTTGGACACCTAACATTTTTGAAGAATGGTGTCTTTTAAATGCAATTGCTAGGTTAAGGAATATCCAAATATTGAATCCGGACAATACTGTCCATATTGTTCTTCAAAAGATATCATTTAACACTTCCAACAGTACATTGACTATTTTTTCCCCCATGCATCCAGAACACTATTGGATCTTATCCATCTTTAAACATTTTTGCCAATCTGACAGATTTGTTTTACACATTCATTTTAAGTTTCATTGAAACTTGCATTTTCAATAATACTAATGTCATTGAACATTAATAATGTATGTTTATCGGCCATTTAACATTTCTGACAGAACTGCCTATTAATATAATTTATTCTATTGGGTTGTTTATATTTCTGTTGTTGACTCAAAGGGCTTCTGAATGCATGGGTAACCCTTTAAACCCCCTTTAAAATATATATTCTAAATAGAAAGGACTCAATAGAAAGTCAGATTCTGTGAGACGAGTCAGTACCCAACCATGTAACTATGCCACATTCAAAATACTCTTTTAGTGCCCGGACAACCACTACCACTGAGTGGATTCCAATTCAGAGCCCATATATCGGGTTCCCGAAGATATACATTTTTATAGTAATAGATAGCCTCATCTTTCTCCCTGGTGGGGTTGAATTGTCAACCTTGTAGTTAGTAGTTTGATGATTACCAACATATAGAACTTGCTCTTGAAATACAGGGGGGGGGGGGGAGTATTACACACACACACACACACACACACACACACACAGAGGCAAAACTACTCCCCGACTAAATTGAGACTTGACATAGGTCAGTATAAAAACAAATTAACTGGAACTAAAATGGAAAGGATCTTGAGAAGATACTGAAAGTTAACAAAAACTTTAAAAGAAATTTACATTTCACCTGTTCATTTTTCAGCAGCCCATTCTTTATTACTCCCACAGCATTGTGTGGGAAAGTACGCTCTAACCATTCACCCACAGATGGACGCGTGGGCTGTTTCCCGTAAGGGGCTATTTGGTCTTTACTTCTATTTACTTACTAAGATTCCTCCATGACACATAGAGCGGTTCTCCTGGTTCCTGATGGAGATTGACATTATCCCACAACAGCTGGATATACACAAGTCTGCTGTCCTGGGACAGAGACGTCAGAGGGAGCTAAAAAGACCAAGAGACACGTGAAAACTAAGGCATGACATAATGCAACGCAAGCTTTTCCCCAAAACTCTCAACCTAAAATTCTGAGTCGGATTTTAAACTTCTTTTTGCGTGTTAGGATAGATAGATATATTAATAATGATCCATTTTATTAGAACAGATGATCACGCATGGTCCAAGCACACTGAAATACTAAACCAAATCAATAAGAGGTTAAAGACTGGTCTTCAAACATCATAGCCAATGATGCCTCGCCTGCCTATGATCTCACCTATATAAAACCACAGCCACACTACAGTGGCCACCAAGCCATTGAGCAGAGCTTCCTTAACGGTGAGCTGTTGAAGGGATCAGTCTTAGCACTACGGACTAGGCTTTCCAGCGCTGAATAGCTGCAGGGATGGATCGCAGCAGGGGTTGGAGGGACCAGTTCCACCCAGGCAGAGTGCCAAAATGTGGCCGACGGAGGCTCTGAGTAAGTCACAGCAGCGTTCGCCATCGCCAGAGCCTCCTCCCAGGCTAAGAATAAACGGGCCATGGTTCTAAGGAGAGAAAGCCCATGGCCCCAAACCGGGCAGGATAAATATTTTTATTATTTTCCAAGATGTCTCTCATTCTGAATTTCATGAACTGAAATGACAACCTGCTCACCGGGAAAATGAAGGATTAACCCTCCCCTCCCCTCATCATAATCAGCTGTAAGGTAAGAAGTGCAATCTTTTCTCCTATTTCACAAAAGAATTCTGATGTACTGACTACTGTTGAAAATACTGAGTCAATTAATATGTAAATATGTCACACTAGGGTTTATAATACTTCAAAGGAAAGATTTTGTTGTGTCCCTGGCTTATGGGGCGACTCAATAGGACTACTGTAGAATGAAGGCATTCTCGAGGCTCACTTGTTTTCAAAGGGCTCCATGGTCCTCGTACAAGGACAGGGATGCTTGGAGCCAGCCAGCCGGATTCTGGTCTTGGCACTCCATCACTGTTTAGGTACGTGCCCGTGGAGAAATTACTCAACGTCACTAGCTTTTAATCTTATCACCGGGAACATGGACAATATGAGTGGCCACCAAATAAGTTGTTGTGATAACAGCAGCTAGGAATAGGATTATTCCGAATAAAAGTTACCTGGTTTCTAAGTGCCCTCAGAACTCAAGAAGACCATGTAACACAAGGATCTTAGATCACTGAAACCAGGTCACTGGACCACCCACCCTCACTGCTAAGTTAGAGAGAAACAGTCCTATGCCTTGTGAAGCTAGTATTATAGTATAGTTTCTGTTACTGCAAGTTAAGCTTCAGTCTATCCAACACAAAAGGATGAAAAGCAGGAGTTCAGACCCTACCTGGACACCTTCATTGCAATGTTCGGAGGTGAGGATAAGTCCTGGCAAGTTACTAGGTAGGTCCAAACGTCTGAAATACCAAACGAGGTTCCAGAATATGATCGGATGTTGATTGATGAAAGAGGACGTGTGAATCACCTGATCCCCTTCATTTTCCAGCAGAGATTCGAGTTCTTTACGAAGCACTAAAGGACTCAGGTAGGGCACAGACACCGGGGGAGGATTCGGCCTACTCCCTGAAGGGTCCTTAAGGAGAGTAATAATACAACAAGAAACAAATGTTAATGCTTTAATTTTGTATATTTAACAGTACGTCTCAATTAGATTACACTTCTCTATCTACCCCGTTAAAATCGCTTATTTTAAAATGGCTATTTCAAGTCCACTGCTACATGCAGGAAAGCACTCAAAGAAAAAAACTGAAAACAAACATTAAATGCTCTTAAGGTAAGTGGTTACAAAATATTACTGATCTTGTACTGTAATGCCCCCAGTGTCCTCAAGTTGCAATGAAAGAGAATGACCAGCGCACTATCAGTAAGTATCCCTAGTGCCCAGGCTGTGGTCTCCAAATACCAGGTTGCTCTAAATGCAACCGGTGCTTCTCAGAAAGTGGCTGGTTTTAGGTCTAAGGAAGGAAAGGGATGTGTATGAAGCATCTTGCTATACAAGAAAGCAATGAAGCCTTTTTCAAAAGAACTCCAAAGAAGTGGATGGGGAGCTACTAAAATTTCATCAAAAGGACTAAAGGAGCCAATTTCCAGAGGGTTCCAACTGGCCACAGGCAGACAGCGTTAAGTATCAGTAAGGAGAGCAGCAGTGATGAACTTCCACATGGATGTTGAAAACCATAAGCTCATGATGACTTTGTCTCTCCCATCTAAATTAACTCCACCGTTTGGGTGCTTGTCAGTATGCGGTCACATGGCGGTTTGTGGGGTGCTTTGATATTGGAAGACTTCCACCAGTGAGTCCCAATACGGGCAGGGTCACTCCTGGTGGACAGGTTTCTTCCTGCAGAGCTTCAGACTAAAACAGACTAGGAAAGAGGAATAAGGATCAGCCACCGGAAAGCTTACAAACAGCAGTGGAACACTATCGGACACCGTGCTGGAAGACGAGGTCCTCGCATCTTAAGGAACATAAAATACCACTAGAGGCGACCTTACTGACGTGGACGGAGCAAAGCTTCCAGGACCTTCATTCGCTAATGAGTGCTGACTCCACATGAGATGAAGGCTTCAAACATTCATTAATAAATGGAATGTGAAATGTATCAAGTACAAATCTAGAAAAACTGGAAGTCGTTCAAAACGATTAGGACACACCACGATCGATATCTCAGGCATTAGGGAACTGACGTGCACTCGTACTGACCATTTTGAATAGAACCATCATATGGCTTACAATGCCAGGAATGAATATGAATGGTGTTGCATTTATCATCAAAACAACACTTCAATACTATCTTGAAATACAATTTTGTCCATCCCCCTGGTAGGGGGTTATATGTAGATTATTGTGATCGGTTCCTCCTTTCTCCCTCACCTTCCCCTTCCCCTCCTAGTATCGATACTCTCACTACTGGTTCTGAGGGGTTTATCTGTCCTGGATTCCCTGTGTTTCCAACTCTTATCTGTACCCGTGTACATGCTCTGGTATAGCCGGGTTTGTAAGGTAGAATTGGGGTCATGACAGTGGTGGGGAGCAGGGGGAAGCATTAAAGAACTAGAGGGAAGTTGTATGTTTCATCGGTGCTATGCTGCACTCTGACTGGCTTGTCTCTTTCTTGTGACCCTTCTAAAAGGGGATGTTCAATTGTCTACAGATGGGCTTTGGGTCTCCAATCCCCACCCCGCCCCCCCATTCACATTGATGTGATTTTTTGTTCTGGGTCTTTGATGCCTGATACCTGATTCCATCAACACCTCATGATCACACAGGCTAGTGTACTTCTTCCACGTGGGCTTTGTTGCTTCTCAGCTAGATGGCCGCTTATATTATCTTTACGCCTTTAAGACCCCAGATACTCTATCTTTTAATAGCCAGGAACCATCAGCTTTCTTCACCACATTTGATTATGCATCCATTTTGTCTTCAGTGATGTTGTCAGGAAGGTGAGCATCATAGAATGCCGGGTTATTAGAACAAAGTGTTCTTGTGTTGAGGGAGTACCTGAGTAGAGGCCTAATGTTTGTCTGCTATCTTAATACTTAACATATAAAGATATGTACATTGATCTATTTCCCTCTCCTTATATATAAATATATTAGATAGCAGTCAATGTAAGACATGAAAAAACAGTAATAATTTATAAATTATCAAGGGTTCATGAGGGAGGAAGAGGGTGGGGGAGCCGATAGCAAGGGCTCAAGTAGAAAAAAATGTTTTAAGAATGATGATGGCAACAAATGTATAAATGTGCTTGACACAATGGATGTATGTATGGATTGTGATAAGAGCTGTACGAGCCCCCAATAAAATGATTTAAAAATAAAAATAAATACAATGCTGTCTATGATAGGATAGTACCTATACACCTACAAATTAGTTCAGTTAATATGATTACATTCAAATTTACCCACTTATCCACTAAAACCAATGAATAAAGTAAAGGATTCTACAAACTTCTCCAGCCTGAAACTGACCATCAAGGTGCATTGGTAATTACTGGTGAATGGAGTATAAAATTTGGTGAAAAAGAGGAAAGATCGGTTGTTGGAAAATATGGCCTTTGTGATAGAAACAAAGCTCTAGGTTACCTGGTAGAATTTTGCAAAGCTTCGTCACTGCAAACGCCTTTTTTCAACAACACGGAAACTATACACCTTGACAAATAAAATACATAGGAAACAAACTGACTACATCTGTGAGAAGACGGAGACACTTAGTACTAGGCAAAAGGCAGCTCCGGAAAGACTATGGAAGAGATCACCAGTGGTGGATATGTAAGTTCAGGTTGAAGCTGAAGAAAATGAAAATAAATCCATTAGAATCATAATCTTCATTATTTCCCACCTGAATTTCGAGACCATCGCAAGATCAGATTTGATGCACTAACCACGAATGAGTAAAGACTGGTAAAGTTGAGGGATGGCATCCAGAGCATCATCCATGAAGGAAGTAAATGGTCATGAAAAAGACAACAGAGAGCTCCCTCTGCCTTCACCGTCCTGCTGGGGTGCGTGCGCACAGCAAAGAAAAGACCAAAGTGGATGCGTCAGAGGAGAGACTGAAGCCTGTCCTTAATCCTCACTCAGATGGAGTGACACCACGCTACAACGATGGGCTCAAACAGCAACTGCGAGATGGGCAGGCAGCACTGAGTACAGGACTGTTAAGAGGCAGAGCCAACTTGACAGCACTTCATTGCCACTACTAAGTTAGCTAATCACCTTGGGAAATTCTAGGGGTCCAACTCATTATGTTGAAAATTGGTAAATAAGAAAAGAAAAAAAGCATTTTACTTTTATCCTGACATTCCAATACAAATTGCATCTTTACAAAATCAGAAGTTGTTTTTTTTAAAAAGATGGACTCCACAAAATACATGACAGCGTGAGACAATCACCTTATGACAAGTCCAATGAGTTAAGTGACTTCAGCACCGGGTATGACCAAATAAGATTTGTCTACAAACCGACACTGAAATTGTCTTGCAAAAATAAACAACATAAGGATCTACATATAACTTCATCCCTGGGGGATGGACAACAGTAAAGTGGGTGAAGGGAGATGCCGGGCAGTGTTAAGACATAATAAAATAATAATAATCTATAAATTATCAAGGGTTCATGAGGGAAGGGGGAGCAGGTAGGGAGGGGAAAAATGAGGAGTTGATACCAAGGGCTCAAGTGGAAAGCAAATGTTTTGAGAATGATGAGGGAAACAAATGTACAAAAGTGCTTGACACAATGGATGTATGTGTGGATTGTGAGGAGAGTTGTACAGCCCCCAATAAAATGATTAAAAATAAATAAACAACATATCAGAAACAAAAACCTAAATAAGATCATACTTCTAAATACAAATACCAATCTATAGGATTACTTACAACTAGCAAAATCTGGATTGTAGGCAACTCTGTTGTCTCAATGGCAAATTACCCTATTTTATCAATAAATAATTGTAAGAAAAAAGTAAGAGAGTATGAGGACCTAATGTCGGGGGTTTAAATGGAGAGAAAATGTTTTGAGAAACGATGTACAAATGCGCTTTACACAATTGATGTGTGTATGGATTGGGATAACAGTTGTATGAGCCCCTAATAAAATGTTAAAAAAAAAAAAAAAAGTAAGAGAGTGAATCCATAAATTAAAATAACATTAAAATCATAGCAACCTATGCAAGGCATAATCTTATTTGACTGTGTTGAACATACTGAAAATGCGCGCGCGCGCACACACGCGCACCCCATACACATAACAGCATTTTCAAGACAGTAAGAAATTTGAAGGTGGAATAACTTGATATGATTTACTTATTATGATAATGGTATTTGTGGTTATGTATTTTTAAAAGCAGTTTTTATCTTTTAGAGAAGCATACTGAAATACGTGGAAATGAAAAAGGTAAAATTTGAAATTTGCTTCAAAATAATAAAGGGAAGCGCAAAGGAGAGTACACAGGAAGAAAACTGGCCTCAAACTGAACATCAGCTGATGGTCAGTCAAGCTGACTCACTGTGCACTGTCTATTTGTATACATGTGCTACCTTTCCACAATAAAAGGGTTTTGCTGTTTTTCTTTGTTAAGTTCTTAATCTGTCATGACACATTTGAATCACTCTTCCTGTGATTAAAATAAATCCGCTACAGTGCTGATCTAATAGCTACATCAATACACAGTATAGTCATAATGTTCTTACATACCACAACTTCCTGCAAACTATTTGGAAGACTAACGGTTGAAATGCCATGAAACGGTCGCTGGGAAAAATCAATGTTTTGCAAGGGGCCTCCAACACTGTGGCTTCGAGTCAAAGATATACTTCTCTTTGATGAGCTGTTGGGAGCTGCAGACACGGTCGTCATTTGGACATCACCTCCACTGGTGCTCGTTAGTTCACCACTGGAAAAAGATCAAGAAATGCTTGTATCTATGTTTGAAAAGCAATCTTACTCTGTATATTCTACAATGAATCGAATCTACTCGTAGACTCTAAATTTTCACCAAACATTTCTGTAAGACTGGACTTGCTCAGGTGAGAGGTGAGAACACAGGTGCTATAGAACAGGGACTTAGTTTAACACGATCCAAGTATCCACTTGCAGTTGCTCTGTTCAAACCAGCACTATTTCATCTTTCTTTTTCACAGAAGCACCTCCAAGAATGCCGCGTGGAAACACCAACACCAAGAATTCATGGACAAGCACCCCGTCTTCATAAGGTTAGAATGTGGTCTGGGCAGACACTAGGCCCCATTTACATTCTTAGACCTCTGCCTAAACCCGTGGTTCTCAGCCTTCCGAATGCTGTGACCCCTTCTATACAGGTCCTCATGGTGTGGTGACCCTCAACCATACAATGATTTCCGTTGCTACTTCACCACTGTAATTTTGCTACTGTTATGAATTGGGCGACCCCTGTGAAAGGGTCGTTTGACCCCCCAGGCTGGGAAATGTTGGTAAACCTTAGCACACAATAGGCTCTTTCAACAACTGTACCATTCAATCAATAGAGAGTATGTTACCCAGTAAAGGGAATATGAGCACTTGGGAAACTGGTAATGGCCACATGAAGGGCTCTTTTATTCTGCTGAGAAGCTCACTTTGTACAAAGCACATGAATAAAAACAAGGTAAAACATTAAATCTCGCGAAATTTGTTTTAAAGAGTTATCATCATATTCATTTGTTAGACATTTAAACCGTATATGGTGGTAAAAGATAAGGCTTTCTGAAAAGGCCAGAACTTGTACCTATCCCAGACTGGTTGTCTTTGGAGATGAAATGTTTACATGGGCGCCCAGTTTACGGTCAAGAGTCCTTGACCTCTACGTACCTTGATTCAGCTGCAGAGCTCGCTTCTTCAGTTATGGTCTGGGTGTGTTTTGGCAAATCCAGGAAGGTCATCAAGTCAGTTTCTGCAGCACTGGAGACGGGTTTGTGCTCCAGGGGGTCAGTGGCCGATGGGACATTGCCACTCTGTAAACTGTCACCAGAGGTACTTGGTTTCAAGAAAAAGCTACATATGGGGCAATCAAAAGAGGTTTTAAGAGATGTGCATGCTCGAGATTTCATCACACTTAAGCATCACTTTATGTTAAAGCAGCTGTGACTGAGTGCCTATGAGAATCCTGCGAACCACAAGGTCAGCAGTTCAAAACTACCAGCCACAGCTCTGTGAGAGAAAGATGAGGCTTTCAACTCCCATCAACATTTACAGTCTTGGAAACCCACAGGGGCAGTTCTACTCTGTCCTATGGGGTCACTATGTGTCAGAATGCCTCAACAGCAATTTGAGGATCATGTGACCACTCTACATATTGTAGAAGGAACATACAGTAACCAAGAATATATCACACACAGCCAAGTCGGTGTCTTTGTTGGATGAGGGAATGAGAGCGAAAAGGGGATGGTTGGGGGCAGAGGAGAGATAAAGGGGCCTTTGCAGGAACCAGAGATGCTACTGTACTGGGAATTAAGAATGTGATTTGGCTCCGTCCACACCTGAGGTTAAAAGGAAACATAGAGAGGCAGCCCTTCTAAGATGGGAGACTTTAAAATGCAGCTAAAGGCAGGTGGTAATATGAAGCTAATGAAATATTGAGAATGCGTGCCTATGTCACTATACAGCTACCAAATGCTCAGTTACCTAAGGACTGGTCACTGAGCTCATGGGCCAGCCAGGCCCCTTGGATGCCTGAGAACTGGATCTTTTCCCAGACTGCACAGAGCATTACCAGAAAGAGGCACAGAGTCCCGAGAAGAGCCGAAGCCCCCTCCGACACCCAGTAAGTCACTGAGTCCGAAATTAGGTTTAAAATTATGCCTAATACTGAAGCTTTGAATTATCCATAAGGTTTAATTCTAAACATTAACTACTCCTGATAACATTTCATCAAAATGCAAAAGCAACACTGTAAATGACTAGCTTTTTCTCTTCTGACTTGGCACACCGGTAACAAGCCAGGAAGATCCGTGCCCCTCTCAGGCCTTTGAGATAGAATCACAGTGGTTTGGGCTTTTATCAGTAAGGACCCCTGGTGGTGCAGCGGTAAAGCACTGGGCTGTGAACCAAGAGGTCAGTGGTTTGAACCTGCCCAGGCAGTCTGCTTCCACAAAGAGCCGCAGCATGGGAAACCCTAGGGCTTCGTTCGACTCTGTCCTGGGGGGCTGCTCTGAGTCCACATCGATCTGAAGGCAGTGTGTTACCTCTTAAGTGGTGAAGGGAGCTTTCCGGTACTAACCTTGCAGAGTTCCTCAAGTCTTTAAATTCTACGTTGAGAAGAGGCAAGAAATTGCTTTTACAGAACGGACAGGTGGTGTTCAGATTAGAATCATTGGCAGTCCATCCAGCCATAATCTCTTCATCATAAACCAAAGCTCCACAAACTCTGCACTGGGAACAACTTGACATCAAAACCTAGGACAGGAAAACGCAGCCCTGAGAATAGCCATGGTGGAAATTAGGACCCATACTTTCCTCAAAAGGTGCCCTGATAGTGTAGTTGGTTATATACTGGGCTACTAACCAAAAGGTCAGCAGTCCAACCCCACCAGCCACTCCACAGGAGAACGATGAGGCTCTCTACGCATGTAAAGATGTAAAGCCTCGGAAACCCACTAAAGCAGTCCGACCTGTGTGTCCTTCAGGGCCGCTAAGGGTAGGACTCAACTGCATGGCAGGAAGGTGAGTAGTTGGTGAGTGGCTCACACAGGTAAGCACTTGACCACCAGTCACAGGTACGGAGGTCTAAACCCACACACAGGGAGGCATCGCAGGAGACTGGCCTGGTATCCGCTGTGAAAGGCCCCAGCAGGGAACACTCTGGGGGCATTCTACTCTGCACACATGGTACCACCAGGAACTGACTCAACCAACAGTGATGATGATGAAATGAATCATAAATAAGGACATTCTCCTGAGAATAGCATAGGGCTTTCTTCATCTGAATCGACAGTTCTATTACTTTACTGGCAAAAACGATCAGTTCATTGTCCCTGACACAGACATCAAGCAAATTAAAATATCCTACTTATATTATTATTCTAGCCACAAGGATCTCATAGAATTCTATTAAATGCCATTCTGGAATCAAATAGAATAAACTCACAGCCACGCTGTTAAAAGATACAGATGGAACATTTACCTCAAAAAACAAAACAAGACAAAAATGTTTACCTCCATTGCACAATTCTGATAGATGCTAGACATGCTAGTATTTTGAGAAGATCCCTGCTCTGATTTTTCAAAATCCTGCCCTTTTATGCCTCTTGGATATGGAACTTCACCTAGAGAGAAGCAAGCATTAAACATTGTAACATATTAGGTAGGAAAATGCCCTTAATCCTGGGAAATGCACACTAAAGTCTTTGGGAGGGATGTCATGATGCATGCACCTCATGTCTAAATGGCTCAGATATGTACATATGGAGGTTTCAAAAAGTCCACCCCCAAAATTCCATTATCTTTAATTCCATTTTCCCACAAACTTTTGAAGTCCCCTCATATGTATATGTGTGCACATCTGTTTATGTATATACATGCATGCATAGATACATAGATACACATACACTATGAAAGACATATATATGTAAGATCGAAAGTTAGCAACAGTTAACATAAATAGGATAGACGTTCATTAAAATTTTCAATGTGTTTGAAATAAAAATTACACACACACACACACACACACACACACACACACACAACGCACAGAGGAACAGAAAGCTAAGGGATTTTGATCATAAGTCCAGAGTTCTTAAAAGTTGATCTTCTTGAATGAATCCTTTCCCCTAAAAATATGTATCACAAATCCTAACCTCTATGCTGATGGTTGGTTGTACACCAATGTGGGGATGGGCTGTCTTTATTATGTTAATGAGACAGTTAGACTAGCTCAAGTGCCTCATTTAAAAAACACACACAGAAACTCAAACAGTATTGTCACTTGTACCTGAAAGTCTCATTTCTGTGGCAAGAGAATGATATTACCAACACCAAACCCAGAGTTTTATCATAAGAGTGGCTGCATTACAACCCCAACTGAATGCCCACCTTGGTGTGTGAAGTGAAGGGAGGCACGGACAAGGAAGAAATGGGAGCCTGAAACTCGAGAGAGAGACATGGGCAGATAATCAATAAGATGGGGACACTGAGACCTTAAATTCCATTGAATCACCCCTGCCATCAGAGCAATCCCTGTTGCCCCCAATGTGATGAGATTCACCCAGCTGTACCTAATGAGTGTTTCCCTGAAATACTGCCTTCAGCACCTTCGGAAGCAAATGCCTTAGAACAGCGGTTCTCAACCTGTGCGTCGCAACCCCCTTGGGGGTCGAACGACCCTTTCACTGGGGTTGCCTAAGACCATCGGAAAACACACCACGATTTACATTATGATTCATAATAGTAGCAAAATTACAGTTATGAAGTAGCAACGAAAATAATTTTATGGTTGGGGGTCACTACCACATGAGGAACTGTATTAAAAGGTCGTGGCATTAGGAAGGTTAAGAACCACTGCCTTAGAAGATATTGCTGAAAGACCATCTTTTCTGCGACATACAAGAGAGAGCTCAATTACTGATCCAGCAGAGGAAAGACGGGTCACAGATGCCAAGATATCTGGAGATCTCCAATGAATCAAGCAGCAGAAACTCAAGAAACAGAGGCCTTCCTCTAGAACTGACGTCGAGCAAGCCTTCTGAACGTGATGTCTACCCTCGTACATGGGGAGAAAATGACCTGTTTGACAAAGCCACCCCTGCGGGGCATTTGTTGGAGTAGCACTAGATAACTAAGACAGCTGGTACACCCTCAATCACTCAGAGAGTTTGTTGAGAATTCACAATACAGTTTCAAAATTCCTATCCAAAGGTCTGGACATCGGTATATACAGTTAAAGACATTCCCCAGGTGACTCTGATGCATACACGCATTTGAGAACGAATGTAACGATCCACAAATACACACAGCTAAAGACATGGGCAACGAGTGACTTTAGTATTTATAGATTATATATGGAAGACATGGCTATTTTTCAAAATCTGTCAGCTCATCTGTACAAATGGGTTGATTAAATGGTGTGGGGTGGGGGGCATATAAAATAAAACAAATTCCAAGGATTAAAGGAAGGGAGAAAACCTCATTCCCCATACCTGCTGGGTAGTGCAGCTTTCCTACATCTCCACTGCTGCTGCTGCTGCCAAGGCTTGTGTTGCTCTGGGTAAGTTCACTGGAGACCAAGCCTGAAATACTCGTGTTAGGCAATATGTTCTCTCCCAAAATATGGTCTTCTAGGCCAGCTGGGAAGCTGTAATCTCTACTAGGTTCCTCCTTTAAGGGAAAAGAATAAAACCTAACATACATAAAGAATACCTACTCAATGGAAATATACTCTCTCCCTTTTCATAATTAAACTCCCTTTCTAAAAGCAGACCTACGGGGCACAGTGGATATTGAGCTGTTAACCACAAGGTTCGTGGTTCAGGCTCAGCAAATGCTCCAAGGGAGAAAGATGAGGCTGTCTGCCCTGGTTAACATTTACAGTCTTAAAAAAAAAAATTTACAGTCTTGAAAACTCTGTAGGGCAGTTCCACGTCCCATTGCATAGCTATGAGTTTGAGCTGCTTTGACGGCGTGGGGCTTCTATGAAAACCTTATATAAACTACCATTTCCATAGTTCCCAAAATTATGAATTCTTCACTATGATTTGGAATTTACCTTCTGTACACAAGCACAGATTCATTGAAGCAAGGGCTTAATGTCAAAAGATATTGTTGTGTCCCTGGGGTATGTCTGAGGTGTGGGGCCTCTCTCAATACTACTCTCATAAAATAAAGAACTCTCAGGGCTCCCCGTCTTCAAAGAAATCAGGGGGCCTCGTGCAAGTAGAAGGGTGTTTTCACCCCAGACAGCTGCATTCTAGTCTTAGCTCTCCATCACTATGAAGATATGGAGAAATTTCTCAGTGTTACTAGCTTTTCATCCTCTCATCTGAAAAATATGGGCATGGAACCTTTCAAGCAATGCTGCTGTGACGATTACAGCTTTCAGAGTAACAGTCAAGCATATCAAAGGCACACAGCATGAAGGACACTCCAGACAATGTTGGTCTCAACTGCTATCGTGCTGCCTGGAGTTTTAGTCCACACAGCACACACTTCTACAAGCAGTTTCCTTCTTCTCCACCACCCCCCAACCTCCAACTCAACAACTTCTACGTGCACGATTCAGTGCCATTGATTATACGCTTCGTGTTGTACAACCATTACTACCATTCTTTTCCAAAATATTCCACCACCACTAACACAGACTCACTGCCCGCTAAGCAAATACTCCCCGCCCACACTTCACCCGTGGTCGTTTCCTTTTTCTTTGCATTTTCACTTTGAAGATGAAATACTTGCTACAAAACCATGCTAAATAATGAAAAATATTTTAAACACAGGTAGGTAGAACAGGAAATTAAAAAGCACTTGTAAGACCAAGTGTTTGTCCTTCCAAGGTGTTTACAAAACCTTTCAGGCTCCTTGTAAACTGCATACACATTTCTAAAGACTCTAAAAGCAACTATCATGAGATGGGTCCACGCCATAATTAGTACGGCTTGACTTAGATTCAAACATTGGCCATTAGTGCTTTCAAAGAAATAAACACAGTGCTTTAATTCCGACTGAAATGGGAAGAGGGAAGGGCGCCTAGGTGGCACAGTGGTGAAGCACTTGGCTGCGGCAGAAAGGTCGGTGGTTTGAACCCACCAGCTGCTCTGTGAGGAGAATGGCGTGGCAGTGACTCAGCTTCCACCAAGACTACCGCCTCCATTCTACGCATCCTACAGTGTGGCTGTGCAGGAAAGTTCGTGTGATGGCAATGTATTATGGGAATTATTGCAAGGGGTCCTGCTATTCCATTTCTATATTCTAAATTTCCTGACGAGCACATTCAAACAGTTTTAAAACACAAGGAGAGAATGCAGTTTTAAATATGAAAAGCAAAGTTACAACAGTACCTAAAATAACTGACCTTAAACAATAACAACAAAAAAGCTACCAACATTTCAGTAGCAGACACCCCAATTCCTCACCTCATCATCTGAGTAGTTGTAGGCAGACGCTACTGCCACCCACATCTTACTGGCTACTGTGGCAGCCTGCTTCATACTGGATTTCAGGACATCGATCTTGGGTCCTGAGAGTATGTTATCCAGCTTTAGGCCCGACAGAGAATTTACTACAGAGCCCAGGGAGCCGTGAGGGGAGGAGCGCACAAATGCGGATAAAGAAGGTGAGCGATCTTTGTACGATCGAGGGGGGGTCTGCTGCTTGAAGCGCCCAGCGAAGGTTTTAGACCTGGACACTACAGGGGAGCTCTTCTCGTTTTCAGGACGCTCCTCCGCTGGCAGCCCGGGATCTAAGGGCAGGCTGGAGCTTCTCTCCAGAGGGTGAACCGACGCCGTGCTGGCCGCCTCTCCGTGTAACTCCATGCTGGAAGACTTGTTCCCCAGGGGGCTTTTTAGGTTCATGTAGCTTTCGATTTCATCAGCTAGATTCCGCGCAATAGTGGGAGAAAACGTTTTATCTTCTGAATCAGGTGTTTTTGCTCCTGTCTCCTCGGTGGCCAAGAGAGACAGAGGATCCAAACCAGTCTCGACATCTTCCCTTTCGACAGTTTTAACCACACTGCCAAAACTGTGCCTCTTAGTTCCTGCGTCTCCGGCCTCTGCTTGGAGGTCTCTGCACGGATCCCTATTATTACTCTCCTGCTGCAGGCCGTTTCGGGCATCCGTGGCTGTGGGAGTTTCATCCCTGACCGTGGGTTCCAGGAGCTCCCGGCCCTCCTCAAGCATCTCCAGCACAGGCCGCGCCCTGTGCTCTGCTTCCCACGGGCTCTCAGACCCACGAGTCCTACAGTCGGCTGGATGGCAGCTAGGGTACTCGAAGCTCTGGGTCTTGGAGAGATGAAGCGGAGACGTCTTGGGGCACGTCAATGCAGCGGTCAGAATCTTGGCATCTGCTCCCATCATGATGGCCATTTCACTCGAGTTCAAATCCAGGCTGCTTTTCTTCCGCAGCATCCCGACTCGACTCTCAGAGCTGAAGCTACAGCTCCGCTCTGCAAAATGCTTCTGTCTTTTTTCTCCTCGGTCACTGGTCTTCTTCAGACCACTAGCTGCGCCAAACGTGGAATCTTCCACGGGGTCTTCAGTAGAAAATAGCACATTCGGTGGATTACCTATGAAAGAATGTATCATGTTAAAAAGCACGCTCTATTTCAGAACAAAACCTTAATAAAAATGTCTGCTTTTCTGACCACAAAGGTAATACCTGCTCACAGTAAGAATCAGAACATAACAAAAGGTATAAAGTACAAAAAAAGTTACTCAATCCTGCCTATCAGAGGGTACCTTTTACTGTATAACTGCCTTTCAGTCTCTATGAAAATTATATGCATTTAAAAAACGTGTCATGCAGTTTATACTGTAGGCGTAGGAATTGTGCATGAAAATATAAATTACTCAGTAAATACAGGTCTACAAATATTTCTTACATTTAAAGTCTGACATTCAAATTAAAAAATACACCCTCACATAAACAGGTGTGAAAAAATCATAACCTGATTTTTAGCTTTCATGTATTCAATATATAAGGATTTATCAGGGATGTATAATCATAGAGATAGCTATCAATATGCTATAGCCAAACCTTACTATTCCACAGAGACCGACCCCCAAATAAAAGAACACAGAGCAAAGCGGTTACAACTGGCAAATTCCATGAGAGCTGATGAAATCTTGCCAGGTGAGTCCTCGGATAAATTCTGCATGCCTAACTGGCATGCATGCTGTGGGATGCTAGGGTCACCTCGTGAGTGAGACAGAACCGGTGCCGGCCCTCCCAGAAGTCCTGCTCATACACTTGTCCAAATGGCACCTACCAGGCCCGTGACTGGAGGCACCTCCTTCAGTTTGGGGAACCAAGCCGGCTTGGCCTCTGTGCTGCCATGCAACCTTGTTCACTCCACGACCAGAAGTTACTTCCCATTTGGATCACTGCTGGCACATAAGTCTACCTAACTCCATTTAGGATTAGCTTTTCTTTCTTTTTTTTTAAAGGACAATGATCTTGAAGCTTTAGGGGATAAGCTGTACCTCATAAGGTCTTTTTTTCATTTTCCAAATTGATTTCATGATTCTTTTTACTCTTCCAAGCTAGTGCCAACTAATAATTATACCAATTAAATAGATCTAGCAATATATAAAGATATCTTAAAGCCTTGGGGGCTGAGGAATAGGTGAGCATACAAGGGGGTACCCCCAAAAAAATCCAGAAAAAAGCTCTGCTGAGTGGAGCTGTCATTGTACGCACATCCCTCCGCTAAGCAAGCATGCAGCAATTCACTGTGAGTTTGTGCACCCCGTGGCGTGGCGTCACCTGGGAAGGTTCTCTCTGGTCAAAGAGAATTTTTTCGTAAAAGCAGTTTCACCTGAACCTTGTTTTTTGTGATGGCCAACTTAAGAGAACAGCGTGTGGCTGGGAAATTTTGTTTCCTGCTCAGGAAAAATGCTGCAGAAACGGTTGTGATGTTGAACACAGCTTATAAGAGCAGTGCTATGGGAAATCCTCAAACGTACAAAGTGGTTTTCTCATTTCAAAAAAAGGTGAAATGTCATCTGATGACAAACAAACCTCCTTCTGGGGATCCTTCAACTTCCCAAACAGACAAAAATGTTGACAAAACTCATGCACTTGTGCTTGAAGACCAACGACAGACCATTGAAGAGATGGGGAAGTTATCTGAACTATCTTGGAGCTCAGTTCAGTGAACTTTAACGGAAGATTTGGGAACGAGAAGGGTGGCTGCAAAATGTGTGCTGTGGGTCTGACTGACCAGCAAGAAGAACACTGGCTGGAAACGTGCTGTGCTTTGCAAGAGCAGCTCCATCGCAATCCAGACTTTTTCCCAAGGCCATTACTGCTGACGAGACCGGTGCTGTTCTGACAACCCCGAAACCAAACTTCAGTCAAGCCAGTGGAAGACGCCATGATCACCTTGCCCAAAGAAGCTCACCAAGTGAAATTAAAGATCAAAATGATGCTCATTTGGGGTTTTGTTTGTTTGTTTTCCATGTGAGGGGGATAGCATTTGGAGTTTGTTCCATCAGATCAGATTTTTAATTTGTTGCAGCCAGAGAACTGGTTTTGCCACCCTGACAATGCACCTGCTGATGCAGCCATCTCAGTGTGCCAGTTTTGGGCAAAAAACAGCGTGCCTCTCTTGCCCCATGCACCTCACTCACCTGACCTTGCTTTGTGCAACTTCTTTTTGTGTCCAAGAATGCAAAGGGGCATGAAAGGACAGCAATTTTACAACATAGAGGAGGTGAAGAAAAACGAGGGAGGTGCTGTCAGCCATCCAAACAGATGAGTTTAAAAAATGTTTCCAAGGCCTCTCCACTCAAGTACTCCCTCAATGCAAGAATACTTTCTTTTTTGAAATTGGCATTCTATGATGCCCACCTTCCCGACACAACCGCTGAAGACAAAGCGGGTGAATAAGCAAATGTGGTGAAGAAAGCTGATGGTGCC